GGTAATAGTTCACTGATTACAGGGTCATTCTTTTTCTTAATATGTAGACGCAGCAGCCGAATAACATTAAGCTTGGTCTTAAAAGTGGAAAAATATAAATAAAAATCAGTAAGATTCCATAGATATTGGGCCTTACATGGATACATCCATAGGCATTTGGCTTATATATCGCAATTGACTTAAAGAAGATTAATAAGCTAATAAATAAGTCGACTTTAGAACCTCTGGAGATGATTTCATAAAGAAAAAATCTTCATAAACTAAAGAACATTTTGGACAACAGTGAGCATCCTTTTTAGAAGATGTGTCTTCAGTCAGAGGCTTCTCCAAAAACCGTTGCAAAGTTAGACCACTACAAAAGATCTTTCTACCTACAGCTATCCACATATATACAACTTATTGAAAAAGGCTGATTAGTTGCTGCAACATCTAAAAAAGGCAAAACAACTGCTTCAAAAATATAGCTTGCTTTATATGAAACAAACATCGGATTTAATGTAGTGCACACCACCGTTCTGGAAACTATTACCAGAGACAGAATCGTGCTGCAATGCTGCCACTAAAGTACATTACCAGTTAAAAACATTAAAACTCATCTTTAAGCTGTTAGCTTGGAGGACAAGATGTATATACTGTATATAACTCATTAACCTTTTTCTTTCTTTGGCACATTCTTCTTCTTTGACTACTTGAGCTGATGTAACAAGTACATTTCCCCACTGTGAGATCAATAAAGTCAATCAATCAATCAATCAACTAAATAAGTTATTTGTTTATTTATGATGTAGGATGCTGATTTAAAATAACTTTTTTAACACCAATTTTACAACTTCTGCTTCCGTTCTGTTCAATATGCTTGTTCTGTTAGATCTCAGTGCTTCATTTGACACCACTGACCACAATATCATCATTTAAAAACATTGCAGTACTCTATAAATACTGCATATATGTATACTGCTAATTATATTGAGAAAAATATTTGAGGCTTGATTATCAGTTTTGAAGTCCCTTTTCAAAAGAACAATCGTAAAGCAGATACTTAACATACTTTTCATTAAGCCCGTGTTAATTAAGTCAATGTGTTTAATTTTATTGTATATCTATTGTAATTTCAAATGCTGTGTTTATTCGTTTTAATTGGAAAATCATTATGATTTGAGAAAATAAAGGCTTAAAGCATCAATCTGTATTAGATCTATAAAATTGTATTCATTAATGAATGGAGTAAATAAAATTGATTAACCTTCATTAAAATTCTAATTGATTTACTGTATATTTACTGGCTGCTCTAGCAGCTGGAGTAATCTGGAAAATAAAAATCGATCTTTTACTTTATCAGAATTGTCTGAACTCAGCCACCCAGAAACATGAACTGCATTATTAACAATTTTGGTGAGCTTGTAAGAAAATGACAAACTTAAAGGTGTTAGAGGATAAACAGCTGGTCACATGTGCACTGTTTCAATCAACTTCATTGACTGAAGAGCAAAGAAAGTAAAGTTTTGATGATGCTGCAAAAGTGGTGCAAAATGTGCTAAAAGTTAATGCTGTTTTTGGCAGAGCTAGAGTAGTAAGATTGATAGAGACAGAGGACCTTCACCTACAAATATGGACATTGTCAGGTCTAACTCCAATCATAAGAGAGACTAAAGAGAGGACTTTATATAGTCAGTAGATCCACTAAATCTGGTTTATTTGCCACTATTAATAATTTTTCAATTTTTTTTTATTGATGAAAATAGCCAGTCTATTGTAACTTGAAGGATGTGTAATTGAAGTAACTTTTTAGAGATGACTTCTTTAATTTCTATGAAGCTCACAGACACACGTCTGCTAAAGGTTGGGAATTATTCAAT